TCCGTTTTATTATATTAGGACGACTAAAACGTCCTCTATGCGAATTCTGTGATTTATGAATCTGTTGGAATTCGCAAATTTTAACACTTCGAAGGGGCTTAGTATCGTCTTTGATCCTATTTCTAAAGTAACAGCTATAGAAACCAGCACCCGTCTGCCACACACTGCCGACAAAGCTTCATTGATTTTTTTATTTAAATCTTGTTGGTTCAGCACCCATTTTCATTTTTATCCCGGGACAATATCTGAATAGAATACTAAATTTCCGAAAATCCGTCTAAGCTTATGCTCTTATATCGTGATTTTCGTTCCCCAAATAAATTTAATATATTTTTGGGGCGTTTCAATTCTTAAATGTTTAGCGTTTCTCGTACATATTTGGTCGTGAAACTCATACAGTCTACCTTAACTGAGTTATTTTGTGCTTCTTACAACTTTTTAGATGGACGAAGAAAAAAAACCAGTCCCTCTTCTCCTGACACCACAGGAACCCAAGAAGCCCGACAGGACGAAATTATGGTACTTAGTTAGACATACATTTATATTGGTCCGTCGGACTTTACGAATTTTCTGATTATAGCATTCATTAAGTCTGGGCAAACTTCATTGGGTTTACGCTATCGCCTATCTTCTCTGAGTATGATGTCATTTTTATCGTTCAAATTTTCTCATGGAGCCATGTGATATTTCAGCATAACGGATAGCTATACATCGTTCGAATTGGCGTGCGGGCATCAGAATAACAAGTGATCAGATGTGGGGTAGTGACCTAAATTTTTGTTGAGTGTTTTGGTACTCCTATGATCTACCGAACTGAAACAAGTTATTTGAGTAACTGTTCAATTCTGGCGCATGCGCCACGGGTGGCCCGTCTGTCTGGTGAAGGCGGTAACCACCTCGGAGACAAAGACTTTCAACTTGTTCGGGACTGTCCAATATTTATTTTGAAGAAAAAGATGTTCTTTTGGATATAAAGGTAACTTAAATCAGTGAATTTTCGAGCCTGGCTCCCCAGCTCGTCTTCGGACTAACAATAAATGTGCAAAGAATAACTGTGATTTCAAGCGTGCGGAAAGAATCAATAGTTATGTGGTGTGAGACCTGATTGCTAATTGTGGCCTTTATCAGTCTATATTGTGCGGCCTTCGTCTCTTCCACCGTTCTTTGAGGTGTTTATAGATAGCATCTAACTCTATGTGGCGGTTGATGCATGAATCTTCGGAGTGCATGGCCTCAAGAAATTCTCGACCTTTTTTTGGGGGGGGGCAAACTCCGACGATGCGTGTTTTTTCCCATGCGAAGCGGTGCCCTCTATCAAGGCTATGCACAGCCACTGCGGATAGATGGTCACGTTCTTTTACTGCCAGTTGGTGTTCGTGAATTCGTGCAGAGACGGACCTTCCTGTTTGATCGTAGTATGATGTACCACAATTATTCACCGTGTACGATTGGTGTGATTGGCCAAAGGACTCTACATGCACAGTCACGCTATAATGTCATGCTGTTTGCG